AAAAATAGAGCAGATAGTACTTCAGGGATCGCTAACAATGAGAACCCTGCTATACTACCATTGGAGCTGTGTCAACCTCTGGAGTGGCCTGTGTCACTGAGAGACCTGCAGCATGAAGGTTTTCCTGCAATGCCCTGGACGGTTGCGATGGAACCCAAAAGAATGTGCTTCCTGTAACAAAGATGAGCCTCACATTGGACTCACCCTTGTTTCCTTTAGTGGCTTTTGTAGAGTTGTTTTCAATGAAGGGCTCTGAGCTGGACTGTGCACAAGGAGTCTGGGAACTTGGCCCATGTGATAGAAAAGACTTTTGATTTCAGTGCTCAGGCCATTTTGTACTTACTTTTGCTCAGTGACAAATACAGATTGACATTCACAAGTCCTCCCAACATGCTTAGCATCCACCTACAGTTCAACAAAGCCAGTCGGCCAGTGTTCGAAGTGAAGGGTGTTTCACAGGAGGCAAAGGAGACCATGCACAGTGTCCATGCTCAGTGAATTTTCACATCTATCTCCTCAGAAGAATATCTTCTTTGTGCTGTTGAGTAAAGAACAACTTGGGAGAGCACAGACATTCAGGGAAAATATTCAGATTGCGGGGGGAGGGGGGATGCTTTACTGACAAGTCTTATTTTTAAAGACAGCTGTATCACCTTTAATTCACTTGAACATCCGCATGTTTTTTAAAACCTGCTTTCTCACCCCGCTGACAGTTAGAATTTTATCTCTTCACTGTTAATATTTCTCTAGAGAGTACATTACTGCATCATTTTGACAAACTTGAATACGAAGAGATGAATGCCCCTCATCTCTGAAAAATTTCAGGGTAAGCTGCTTTAACCAGTTTCCTATTTTCAGAGGCTATTTTTCTGTCATCCCTTCACATCTATCCAAGTTCAGTTAATTCTTTTCACAGCTGTATTTTATAAAAAGTGGAATTCTCACAAGAGTACTCATAGCTCTGGGTTGGGAGCCATACTGACTACTGTTACGCTCTCGGGGGCCATACGTGCTGATGGAGACAAGGAGACCCGTGTGTCCGAAGGCTCCATGGCCGCCCACTGCTCAGCGTGAAGGCTGCTGCTCACCCTGCCTCTGTCTTGCTTTCTGGAAACGCCCTGGTCCTGAGGTGCTCTGATTTCCAGCAGGGCAGGACGGAATGTCTTCATGTGATAGCATTCAAAATATTTTGCTGAGGGAACATGGGTGAGTGTAGAGGAAAACAGAATATTAATTGAAAATCAGTTATTCCTATCAGTTGAAAGCTCCCTTAGGCAGTTAGAGAACAACTTTTTAAACAATAGTACAAAAAATGCACCATTCAATGCCCAGCTGGTATAGCTTAGTGGTTGAGTGTCGACCCACGCACCAAGAAGTCACTGGTTCGATTCCCGGTCAGGGCACATGCCCAGGTTGTGGGCCTGATCCCAGTGGGGGGCATGCAGGAGGTCGCCAGTCGATGTTCTCTCTCTTCTATGTTTCAGTCTCTTCTCTCCCTCTCCCTTCCTCTCTCCCTCTAAAAAAGTCAATAAAGAAATAAATTTAAGCCCTGGCCAGTTTGGCTCAGCGGCTGAGCGTTGGCCTGCGGACCAGAGAGTCCTGGGTTCGATTTCCGCTAGGGGCACGTACCACAAAAAAAAGAAAAGAAAGAAATTTAAAAAAAAAAGAAAGAAAATGTACCATTCAAGAAATGTGATGATCTAAAGTAGAGAAATGGTAAACAAAATACATTGTACCTGTAGATTAGATCGGGGGTTGATACACGACAGTCTGCAGGACAAAGAGGGTCCACTGCCGGTTTTCGCGTGGCCTGTAAGCTACAAATGGTTTCTACAATGTTAAATGGTTAGATAAAAAAATAATAATATTACTATGAGACTTAAAGTTTTACTGGAGCAGAGTCAAGACCATTTGTTGATATAGTATCTTTGACTGCTTTTGGCTATAACAGTTTCCTACTGCAGTGGGGACCCTCAAAGACCCAAATATTTACTATCTGCCCTTAACCAAATTTGCTGACCACTGGGCTTGATTACTGTATCACTGCAAAGATGACTCTATTTAAAAATGTTTTATTATAAGAGAAATGTTTATGATATGATAATTATGGAAATAATCATAACAAAGTATATAAAAGATAATCCCAGATAGTTTATTTTCTTTATTGATTTTTTTTTAGAGAGAAAGGAAGGGAGAGGGAGAGAGAGAGAGAAACATTAATGAGAGAGAACATCGACTGGCTGGCCCCTGCATACCCCCCACTGGGGGTATGGCCCACAACCTGGGCATGTGCCCTGACCAGGAACTGAACCAGTGACCTCTTGATACATGGGTTGATGCTCAACCACTAAGCCACACAGGCTGGGCCCAAATAGTTTATTTTCTATATCATGTTTTGCCTCTTTCTCCTGTTGGAAATGTAAGCTTTAAGAAAGAAAAAAAATACATTAATTAATTCAAGTCTAGAATAGTGCTTGGAACATAGTAGATGCTCAATAAACAAACAGAGGCCAGTTGAAGACTGCTGAATTATGTAAATATACAGTGTATATGTGTAATAATAATCATAGCAAAACCTTTCTGAGATATTCAAATACCAAGTTGAGAATTTTAAGTATGGGAACCCTTTTATCCTAACAAATTCCTTTTGGAAGGTACATTATCACCCTCCTTTTACAGAGGAAAAGAGCAAGGAGAGGTTGTGTAACTTGTCTAGTGTCACCAAGCTAAGAGTATGACCAGAATTAAAAAGTCTGTTGGATTCCAGAGTCTGAGCTCTAACTGTAAGCTATACTCCTTAAATTTCTAAAAACAGAAATGTAATGTTCTTACGTCTTTTAGGTGAGAAAGGAAGGGAGGGGAAAATACCAGAGGTAAATATCCAAATAACAGAACTGGGGAGAGGAGGTTATAGATGATTTTGCTTTTGTAGCTATACATCTTCATGTTTCTTAAAAATAGTTAGATTTTCTTTTAATTATGTTTAAAATAAGAAAGATATTTCTAAAGGCAAGGAAGGACTGCTCAGAAGGTTGTTCACCATTTCAATTGTTTATGTAGATCGTTCCCTTGTTTCTCCGAGGGTCTTAAGTGGATTGCTGAGGAAACTGTGCTGGCCTGTCTCCTGTGTTGATGTGTGTTGTTCAGCTTCAGTATTAGGGTTCAGCTCCCTTTGACTACTTCCTAGCATGGAGAACGCAAAGTGCTATCTGTGTGTAACCTTGGTACAAAGACGCTGACTGACAGAGTTCTTGGTGTTTAGCTTTAAAAGTCTGAAGTACCCATGTCTTTGAAAGCTGCCTTGTGTCTTCTGCTTGTGTTTGGTTACACTGGTCTGTGTATCTCCCTCTGGACAATGCAGTGCTTTTGCCTGCGGCATATTATTATTATTATTATTAAATAGTTATTGTTATTATTGTTTTAATTGGCATTATATTTGGAGTACACATGTTTTAAATTATATTTATATTATATCTAAGAAGAAAATTATTTCTTGGTAGCCTCACATCATTTAAGAAAGTAAAAAGAAAGAAAAAAGAGAGTGGAATATTAAAATGAAGTTCTTTATTTATGGTTCATGTTTTTCTCTCTGTTTTTCTCTTAATGGCATGTCAATGACTGTGACGTATTTTCTACAGTCTAAAGGACTTTCCACATGCCCTGGCCTAAATTTCAAGGCTAAGAGGAGAAAGATACTTTTAGGGGGACAAAACTGAAATATAGGTGATTCGAATGATTAAGTGAATGCTGTTAACATTACTGAGGTCACTGTAACCCCAAATTCAAGAGCGGTTAGAGGAGATGATCATTTCTTGTATTTAAGACCAGAAATAAAAACTCTTACAAGAAGCAGGCAAGCAAGGTGGGAAAACGAAAGTCTTTAAGAAAAAGGAAAACAGTTATATTTTGAGAACCTCTTTGGTTATTTAAAAGGGCTTTTAAAAATTCCCGTGATGTGTCTAGACATTCCAGTCATAATTTCAGAGGCTTCTATTGTCCAGGCCTGTTAAGAGCGAGTTAAGTGGGCTTTTTCAGATCTCTGTGACTTAGTTGTTTTTGTTTTTTTCCTCAAGAGTGTCATTCTGATTTTTGAGTTATAAGCATAGCTGCTCAATAGAATTGCTCCGTGACTTTATTTAGCAGAAATGGGGGTTTGGGAATGATATATTGGTTTTAAGCTTGAAGTGTCATTCAGTGGACCTGATTATGGTTTTCCCTGTTGATGATGACTTCAGTCAGGGTTGTCATTTTTATTCCGGTTAACAATAACATTTCTAAACTATAAAGAGTGAGACCAAAAGAAAAAAAATTTGAGTGGCATATTTTGAAAAATTATTTATACACATTCAGTTGAAGAAATGACATTTACTTAAATACACTTTGTGAGGTTATATGTGAGTAAATGATCTATTACAAAAGCACTGATGTTTTTATCAGAAAAGGAAAAAAAAAAAAACCACTCTTGCTTCTTTGTCTTTGGAGATTGTAGTGACTGGTGTAAACCATACAATTTCACTTTTAAATTTACGATTTCTAAAAATTCTCTTTCTTCCTGACATAATAATGTGGCCTCGGAAAATCAGACAGTTGTTATTACAAATAGAGAGTGGCTCCACCCAGACACTGAATAGACAATTATAAATGTCTGGAGTCTTTCCTTTTTTGTGGTGGCTACTTTTAGATGTGGAGAAAAACCACATCAACCAGAGGACGTTGTTCTTGGTGGTTAGTGGCCAATTGCTGCTACATCTGTAAAGTATCTTGTTTAAAAATATTTTTTTATCGTCTAACAATACCTTTCCGTTTTATAAGACTTCTCCCAGGATGCATCATTGAGGTATAAAATATTAAAGCCTCAGAAGACAAAGGAATCATTACATATCATCTAATCAAACTGTCTTGTTTGACAGGTGAGAGCGTGAGCTTTGAAGGCGTGTGAAAATGAAAGTCTTCATTTGCAACAGCATGCTAAAAGCAACTTTGTTTCTCAAATTCCCTAGATGGCCGCCCATGTCCTGTCATTCTCTGGGATCCATCTTTGTCTCCGACCAATAATGAGACCCACTCCTCTGTTCAGCTCACCTGGGGAGCCTACCAGCAGTTGCTCAAACAGAAGTGCTGGCAGAAGGGCCGAGTCCCCAGACCTGAAGGGGGTTGCACTGAAATTCATCACCATGAGTGGTCCAAGGTGGCCCTCTTTGACTTTCTGTTACAGGTATGTTCATCAAATCAAGTCAGTGGTTTTCTAAGACTAACACTGAGTTACAAAGTCTGATGCTAAGGAATTTTCTGCACCTTGAATTTTTACGAAGCCAGAGCTTAAGTTCTGTGATGCTGTATTTGGCAAGTATGGTGCCACGTGTGACACAGTTCATGTCCTTTAGGGAAATATTCAGAAATGTCCCTCAGCTCTTTTACTAATTTCTAAGGAAGCAATTCTGTAGCATTTCAATCTTGCAATGGTTATACTCACCATAGCTACAGTTTGTTGAGATAACCCATTAACAATTCTTCAAAGCAGGTAGTCTTACTCCATTTAGGAAGGGAGTAAATGGAAGTTTGGTGAAGTTTAGTAACTAACGCAAGTTCTTAAAACTGCTGAAATCTGGAGCTGGGATTCCCTGGGATTTGTCTGTGGTAAAAATTTGTCTTCCTTCCATCATTTCTCACTGTGTTTTAGTGGTCATTTGGCCACATAGCTTACAGCCACCAATTTTCCTTGTTTTCTTTCCAGGAACTTTTGCAAATACTTAATTAAATTTAGACATTGGAGAATAATAAATATTAACCATCTACATAATAGAGTGACTCAACATTTTAAAGATTCCATGACTCTGTCTACCCCCTCATTCCGATGACTGCTTTTTCCTTTCTTTATTAAAAAACAAACAAACAAACAAACAAACAAAACAGACTGGTTTTCTGTTGTATGGTTAATTAGTATTTTGGGGAAATTTAGGACTGTCTTAGAACATTTGCAAAACATTCTCCTTGTGTGTGTGTGTGTGTGTGTGTGTGTGTGTGTGTGTGTATGAGAGACATTTCAAGAAGGAACTAAAGAGACAGAAAACTGTAGGAAGAAAACCAGTCTGGGGACTAGAGTCACAGTCTAGGGACTAGAGACTTTCAAGAAGGAGAGGATGATTTATGACGTGTATGCTGCAGAGCCACCAGTGAGAGCTGAGCTGGAAAGCATGAAATTTGCTTTGGCAAGGAGGCAGTCAAGTCACAAACACTGTTGAAGAGTCCAGCTGCGAGGCTCAGGCTGGTTCTAAACACCCTCTCCATTTTACAGGTAGGGGAAGCTGGGGCATAAAGAGGTTATTATCAAGAACTGTGACAGGTCTGAGATCTTATCCTGCTTGCAAGCTAACAAGTTAGCCAGCCACATGCTCATGGATGCTAGCAGAAACAGACTCCTGAATCAGATACAAATGACCTCATTACGCATGGCATACCAAGTGTCAAGAGCTTCATGGTCCTTTGCCCCTCAAGTCCCACTGGGGTGATACAGAGTGGCCCTGGTGAATGCTACACCTGGTGGAGCTGTGTCACTGCTGAGAACTCCAAGCTTAGGAAACCCTCAAACTTGTAAGAGGCTGCTAGCAAACCTGCTTCAAATTTGCCCCAAAAGGAGACAGTGTCTTTGTATCTTGGTCAGAAAACAAATCTGTCTTCCAGCCTAGAGGGAGATACTCTTTGTATTTTTCAAGGCTGTTTTGCTATACCAACTTACTTGATGAGATAATCAAAATAATACCTGCTATAAGACTTACAGAAATGCTGTGGAGAATTGTCTCTCAGCAGTTACCTAACTTGTTAGGTGTTAAATACCCAGTAAGTTCCCAAATAGAGATTTCAGCAAGTTTGACTAACTCTAAATTTCATATTTTTACCCATTATTATATAACAACTGCCAAGTTTTTCTTAGGTTAGTAAAAGAAGTTGGGGTGATAAAAATGTATTAGCAATAAAGTGGCGAATGAATAAAGACTTTTAGGGTTAAGTAGGTAAAGGGAAATATTGAGGCCAGATGTTTGGAGAGTGGTCAGCTAGATGTTGAAGTTTGAAGACAATGACTAGGGGGAGGATGGAGAGGGAACCTATGAACCTGGTAGTGAAGTCTATGAGAAAGCAATGACCTTGAGGTTTGTAGCTGATGAACATAAGAGCTAACCTTAACCCTTTTAGAAGTTGTCTCTAGTGATATTGGTTTAAATTCTGGAATCTTCAACTAAATCTCATCCTACTCTCTGTCTTTATCATTGAGGGAAGCTGCAACTATCATTCAACCAATGAATACATATTTATGCAACTTTTACTGAGTATTATACTATAGAAAACAACCATAGGGGTAGCAGAGTAGTATAAGATTGTATCCCCATTGTCCACCCCAAGTTTGATTTTAAAAAATATTTAGTTTGAAAAGTATCATGTATAAAAGAAAATGATAGATTCATGTGAGAATGGTGGCTGAAATAATGTAAGTTCTTGTTGTTATGAGGTCAAAAGAGGTAGAGCACTTTGCCATAAAGTAACTAGTGAAGGAAGAAGAGATTGAGTAGGATCGTAGGCCGCAAATGATCGAGAGGATAGGACAAAACGTGAGGAGGAACATGGGATTGGCAATATTCCCATGATATTTAAAGCATCCTAAATATACCATCTGTCTGAAGCAGTTGTTTAGGGGAATACTGATACATGCTGCCTGTAAGAGATATGATGGCACATGGAGGAAGAGAGCTGTTTTCACAAGATGTGTGTTCACTTTGTAACTCTCTGTTCATTACCCTGACTGAGCAAGAACAGATTCCAGCTGAGCTACAGTCTCCTTCCGAACACATCAGCAACTTTTATCAGCATTGTGTTCATTGTCGGTGGTCTTGAGGGCAAATATGGACGCATGAATTATAAATTTTCTACACAGATAAATATTTCAAATACTTAAACTAATACTATTAATAATCTAACAATCATATAACACTTGCTATGTTCCTGGCACTGTCCTAAGCACTTGATACTAAGCACGAAGATATTAATTAATTAATTTAATGTGTATGTCAACCCTATGAAGTAGACACTATTGTTATTATTATTTTATATTTGAGGAATAATATAAAGAGAAATGAAATAACTTGGGCAGGGACACATCGCTGGCATGTGGTAGAATTTGGATTCAAACTCAGTAATTCTGGTTTAGGAGACAAACTTCTGAACAATGCTTCTATTTATTTTATGGGGGAATGGTACTATCATCATCTAATTTTCTAAGTAAAAAATTTGGGAGTCACCTAAATGCGTTGTGATACACACCTGCACCTCCATACGGTGATATCCTTGGTATTGCCCAAATCTACCTTTTAGGCATAGCTTGTGTTCCTGTCTTAGTTCAGGCTTTGTCATTTATTACCTGGATGACTCCCTCCAATTCACTCACACTCTGTAAGCCAGGGTCACCTTTGGCTTGAGATACTGGGCATCAGGCTGCTGCTACCTCTGCAGGAACTAATTCTATTGGTAGGTCAGTTCTTTTTCATAGTCTACCCTCTTGCTCCTTCTGCCCGAGGAAGGGTTGAGGGGGTGGAAACTTTCTTGGTCTTGATAATCTATGAAGATGAGATCTCTGCAAGATTTTACTGAACCTGTTCAGGTTATGATACCAAGATTGGAGTTCCTAATTGTGACTCTGGTTAAAAAACACTGAATCTAGCCCTGGTTGTTGTGGCTCAGAGGATAGAGCATTGACCCACACCCTGAAGGGTCACAGGTTAGATTCCTTATCAAGGGCACGAAACCTGGGTTGCAGGTTCTATCCCTGGCCCCTGTTGGGGCCTTTGTGGGAGGCAACTAATCAATGCGTCTCCCATATTGATGCATTTTCTCTCTCTCTTTGTCTCTCTCTCTCTCTCTCTCTCTTTTTCTCTCTCTCCCTCCCTCCCTCCCTCCCTCCCTCCTTCCCTTCCGCTCTCTCTAAAAAATCAATGGAAAAAATATCTTTGGGTGAGGATTAACAAACAAACAAACAAACGAAAAAATGCACTGAATCTAAATGTCAGAAATTAATTCTATTGTTAAGAGTTAATTTGTTTACTATTTACAAAAGTATATCAAATTATATGTATGAGGATGGCATCTGTGAGAGTGGAAGTACATTTATTCATTCATCTAACATTTATTTGCTTCCCACTGTGCAACGGGCAAAAGGCTAATTTCCCCTAGATGCTGCAACATTTTACAATTTTGCCAGTAAGGTATAAGAGTGCCTATTCCCCTTTACTGCCAACTTTGGGAAGTGGAAAACTAAGTAATGCTTTGGCTGATTTTATGGAGGGTAGTGGGTCTTGTTTATATTGCTAGTTCTTTCATTATGAGTGAGATATACATATTTTCAAATATTGATCATTTGTATTTTTTTGTGTGAATTGTGTGTTCAAATCATTGCCTTTTTATATTGCATTCCATAACATTTTCTTGATTTATAAAAACATTTTGTATATCATGAAAATTTGCCTTTATCAATCCCATATGTCTCAAATAATTTGTCTTACATTTGGCTTTACTCATAGTATATTTTACTCCAGAGAAATTTTACATTTTTAATAAATCATATCTTAATTTATCTTTTTAATTTTTATATTTAACATTATACTCTGTTTATAGAGATGTTTACTGAGCAAATATGTGAATAAATAAGCTTAGTCCCTTTTTTATGAGTACCATAATAAGTAGTTATCTTTTTTAAAAATATATTTTTGTTTTTTTAAAGAGAGAGGAAGGGAGCGAGAGAGAGGAACATCAGTGTGAGAGAGAACATCGATTGGGTACCCCCTGCACGCCCCACCCCCTGTGGGGATCGAGCCTGCCACCCGGAGACGTGCCCTGACCAGGAATCAAACCGGGGCCTCTCAGTCCACAGACACACTCATTCCACTGAGCCATACTGATTGGGCTATTTATCTTTTATACAATAATCCTTTTAATTAATTTCACTGAAATTTTTATTTTAAAGTTGATATGTGCCTTATTTAAATGGTGTTTGGGAATGTACCGGAGTGTAATGAATGGCTTTTGTGAACATTTTTAGAAAAGTTATGCCTGAAATAAACTAAAATGACTTGTTCTATGATGCTACAGCAAGGGAGAGAGAATACAGAACCCAGTTGTTGATTTTCTGTACACAACATTCTTTCTGTTTTACCCAGCTAACAAATCTGC